AAAAAATTCAATCAAAAGATTCATGAGATAGTAAAATGCCAGTATACAAAACCTCAACTATTTACGTAGTACAAAACCAAGCGGATTGGTCGGTCCTTGTTTATTTCTCCATCTTATTCTAATTAATTTTGGCGCTTTTTTTAATTTATCCTATGCTACTGCAGCACCACCCTTATTGGACGCGTTTTTAGGGACACTTTTCATATATAGAAATCACAGAATACATGTACCCTGACGGGAAGAACGAAAACTTCATACAATAAAATGCCTAGATAAAAATGATAGAAATGGTCCACCTTGTACTCTGCACTCTATAGAGTATAGTAACTGTCCTATATACATAGACTTAGTATCCTCTATGTACGCCTATACAGTACCCCGAAAACGAACATTTTGATCTATAGCATAGTTTACGTGACAGTTTAGTTTAAGTAAAATTTTATATAGGAAACGTATTTGGAAATATATAAAAAGAAGCACGAACATCTAACGTTGCATTATGCATAGCTATGGTTTAGTTTAAATAATAGTAAGTAAAATGTGTGGGAATCGGCAGCACGAATCTTTTTTGACGTACGTTATCGTCTATCTAATGTAGAGAATTACGAAATCCTTCCGACATTTTTACGGCGAGAATGCTATCGAGAAATCTTAGTTTTAAGTTGCTCTTGATTTTTCGTGGATTTAAGCTTAAAATGTTTTTATTAAGAACAAATAGAATGAGATCCACGGACCAGATGGAAGTTAGCGTAGAACATTCTTTTTTTTTAACTAAACTATATGCCAATTAATTGCTCCATAAATGCTCCAGCAGAATTCGAAATTGCTCCACCTCTATTGTTATTAGTTAATTTATAATTAATTTAAAAAAAAATTAAATATAAAAAAGTTAATTTTGTTATAAATTATAAAATATCTACTTTTTTAAACTAAACTGTATGTCAATTAATTGCTCCTTAAATTCTCCAGCAGAATCCGAAATTGCTCTACCTCTATTGTTATTAGTTAATTTATAATTAATTTTTAAAAGATTTAAGTATCGACAATTCAATTTTGCTATAAAACATAAAATATCTACGTTTTAAAATTAAACTGTATGCCAATTATTTGCTCCTTAAATGCTCCAGCCGAATCCGAATTTGCTCTACCTCTATTGCTATTAGTTAATTTATAAATAATTTTCAAAAAATTTAAGTATCGAAAATTTAATTTTGCTATAAAACAGAAAATATATATTTCTTAAAATTAAACTGTATGCCAATTATTTGCTCTTTAAATGCTCCAGCTGAATCCGAAATTGCTATACCTCTATTGCTATTAGTTAATTTATAATTAATTTTTAAAAAAATAACCAAAAGGAAGTTAGCGTAGAATATTATTTTTTTTAATTAAATTGTATACCAATTAATTTCTCCTTAAATGCTCCAGCAGAATCCGAAATTGCTCCATCTCTATTGTTATTAGTTATTTTATAATTAATTTAAAAAAAATTAAGTATCATAAAGTTAATTTTGCTATAAAGTATAAAATATCTACTTTTTTAAATTAAACTGTATGCCTATTAATTGCTCCTTAAATGCTCCAGCAGAATCCGAAATTGCTATACCTCTATTGCTATTAGTTAATTTATAATTAGTTTAAAAAAGTTAAGTATCGAAAATTTTATTTTGCTATATAACATAAAATATCTAATTTTTAAAATTAAACTATATGCCAATTAATTGCTTCTTAAATGCTTCAGCAGAATCCGAAATTGCTCGACCTCTATTGTTATTAGTTAATTTATAATTAATTTTTAAGAAAAAATAAGTATCGAAAATTTAATTTTGCTATAAAACATAAAATATCTGCTTTTTAAAATTAAACTAAAGACCAATTAATTGCTCCTTAAATGCTTAAGCTGAATCCGAAATTGCTATACATCTGTTGCTATTAGTTAATTTATAATTAATTTAAAAAAAAATTAAGTATCGAAAATTTTATTTTGCTATATTACATAAAATATCTAATTTTTAAAATTAAACTAAATGCCAATTGATTGCGCCTTAAATGCTCCAACAGAATCCGAAATTGCTCCACCTCTATTGCTATTAGTTGATGTATAATTAATTTAAGAAAAAAAAGGGTCGAAAATTTAATTTTGCTATAAAACATAAAATATCTGCTTTTTAAAATTAAACTAAAGACCAATTAATTGCTCCTTAAATGCTTAAGCTGAATCCGAAATTGCTATACATCTGTTGCTATTAGTTAATTTATAATTAATTTAAAAAAAAATTAAGTATCGAAAATTTTATTTTGCTATATTACATAAAATATCTAATTTTTAAAATTAAACTAAATGCCAATTGATTGCGCCTTAAATGCTCCAACAGAATCCGAAATTGCTCCACCTCTATTGCTATTAGTTGATGTATAATTAATTTAAGAAAAAAAAGGGTCGAAAATTTAATTTTGCTATAAAACATAAAATATCTGCTTTTTAAAATTAAACTGAATGCCAATTAATTGCTCCTTAAGGGGCTACTCCATGCGAACGACCTTGAGCATTTGACCGCTTGCTACAATATTAATATATTGTAGCGAGCGGCTCGCCGGAAGAAATATGTAAGACGCCACCTATTGTACGAAAGTAGTATTATTTTTTCAACATCAATAAACTATTTTATGGAAATACACATAGCGTACAAAGATAAATGTATTTTAATTTTTTTATTCTGTATATATTAGTTGCATTATATTAGAATTATGTATTTTCATATATTATCTAATTATGAAATTTTATAATTAATTATATATTAAAACTGAAGCATTGAAAATTGTGAGTTTAAAAGATACCTATTCACTATAGGTAAATAAATAGATAGCTCGGCTTTTGTACAAATATTTGGTGCAATAAAAAATAAATAAATAAATAGGATGTTTCGCATATGTGTTTTTGATTATTGTTAATTTTTACGTGTCACGTATTGAAAAGTTACCTACTAATTTTTGAACTTATGCTGGCAGATATTATCCTCACCCCAATGATTGATGAGGATGAAAATCAATTTTATTTCTACATACGTAATTATATTTATTTATACATAAGGGTAACTTTAATAAAGGTAATACAAAAATCAACAAGAAGTATAAGGGTTCAATCTTTCAATTTCAGTTGTAAAAAAACGTTACCCCCACACTAGGATTTTCTCCTGTGTCGTGGAGGCAGTTTACAAACATAAATTGCACAAAGACAAACATCCAGACCCGGAACAATTATTTGTAGGCCATACAAATACTTGTTCCATGCGGGATTCGAACCCGCGGCCCCCAGCGCAACAACTGATTGCTAAGCCACTGCGCCACCATGAAGCTAATACAAAGACTAACTTTGTATTTGCTTCATGGTCGCCGGGTTATAGCTAAAGTGACCATACGTCCCGTTTTGAACGGGACTGTCCCTTTTCTCGGTCTCCTGTCCCATTGTCCCCAAACAAAGCTCCGGGACACAAAATTGTCATGTAACTAGTTGGATGGAAGTATTCAAAGTCAACAATCTTCAACATAATTTTTTTTAATCGAATATATTTTATGTCTACCTGGTACGAATGCTCCGGTAGAAAGAGTATTTTTTTATTTTGCATAAATTGTGGACGTCTGAAAGAAACACTTACGGTTCCAGAGTTCTAAAGGCGATGTTGTTAACAAAGATAACAATAAAAAACTTGAGCAGAATTTTATTCTTATTTAAAATCATCACCAACTTTATTAAAGCAAATTTAATCCACTGACAAATGTAATTAATAATTAAAAAAAATATGTTGCATTTAATAATTACCGTCTATACCGAATATAATTTTATAGTGAACACTAATTGTATAAAGTTATAGTTTTTAGAGTATAAATAAACCCATGTCCTGTTTTGAGTTAAAAAATAAATGGTCAGTTTAGTCTTTTTAGTTAAATTTAGTTTTAAAAATTTTTAGTAGTAAAAAGTAGGTATATTAGTACCTACTTAGATACTTTTTACCGAATTATAAGTATAGAACACCTTATGTACTCAATTATTTTTTGAAAAAGAAGAAAAAACAAGCAATAAATAATATACTATATTTTAGCAAAAAACTATAACTTAGTAATACTAATTATAACTTAGAACAAAAATGAAAAACTCATAACTGACCTTTTTCCCGACCCAGGATTCGAACCCGGGACCTCATGATCAGAAGTCGCACTACTACAACCACTAGACCAACGAGGCAGTACTATACCTGATAAGATATTGTGGTTGGGTGATAATATTGAATTAGCCTTTTATAGTGTAAATTATAATATTTGTCGAAATTTTAATTATAGATTCGAACCTTACATGCTAATGGTGCTTCATTTTTTTATTTGCATTTACTTCAAAGAAAATACACGCAAAAAGCTTCATCGCGCAGTAAAAAACACAACAAATATATGTATAACTAATACGAAAAATTATACCCAAAACAAACAAATAATACTACCTATAAATAACCTAATAAGTAATATTATTTATCGACTGATATTACGTGAGTGTATGCGGCGCTGGTCGACGCTCTAACGACACGGGCTTCGCGTCGAAGAGCTCAGGGCTCACCAAAGACTACAATGTTATATAGGGAATAGACAGGCAGCTCTCACTTTTTTTTAATCAACGACACGAAGCGCCATCTAGTTGTCAGATACCCAAAACTAATACGTATATACATACATACATATATATATATATATATATATATATATATATATATATATATATATATATGCACAAGCTGTTTTCATATGCTTTTAGTAGAGCTACTGGGAATTTGGTACATTAGCGAAATTAATGTCGAATGTACTAGAAAATTTGTAAAAAGGTCAGTAACAAGTGATACTGGCTGTATACATTCGACACTAAATTCACCAAAGTAACAAATTCCCAATTTTAGCTACATAGATGATTGAAATGTAACTGGGAATCATAGAATAAAATGCAGTTTATACTTTTTAGAGATTTAATCTTGTAGAATTTATTACAGAGACATTATTTTGTCTTATCCTCTTTCTCCCTTTATTTTTAGAGTAGTGTCTGTGAGCTTTTTCTTTCATAGGGTCATTTACATCCCAAAAGGTTATTTTTCCAGTGAGGACATTGTTTACATCTTTGCACCAATTGTTTATAAAAAAAAATGTGGATTTATTAATTAAATAATCAGTTAAATCATTTTTGTGTAATAAACATGTTAAAAAGTTAAAATTTAAGTTAACCGTCATAATCAATTTAATATATTTAGATATATAATTTTTTGCCCTATCTTTTAATATTTCTATGGAAATGTGTTCAACTTGGGCAAAGAAATCAAACAATGCCCTAGTTGGATAGCACAACCACTTTTTATTTTCATATTCTTTCATTTTTATAAATTTATGAAAATTTAATAAATCTTCTGCTTCCAAATCATGCCTGCAAGTAATACAGTTTTTAAACACATGTTTCTTGGCAAGTTGTGCTATCCAGCCACTGCAATAACCTATTGCTGCGCATTTTTCTATATCCATTGGAGTTTTACTTGCTAATAGTGCATCTGTGTTTATAGGGTCTATATACAAATGAGCGTAGTCTACTTCATCCTCACATTCTGTTGCTGTGTTGTTGTCTTTAGGATTTATTAAAAAACATTTCAGGGACTGGAGACAAACACTGTCATCTTTTTCACAGTTTGATCCAACTGAATGTGAAGATGTTATATTGTTTATTAACAATGTTTTAAATGCGCCTTCAAATGCAGATGACGTAGGCATTATATTACTATAGCCGTGAGCTCGGATTGCTCCAAAAAAGTTCTCCAATGGATCTTGGTTAAAATTTCGCAGCAATAAGGAGTTGATCCCTTTAGAATTTAAAAATTTTACAATATTTTTAAAATTTTCTATTGTTTGAATCCAACTGGATAAAGATGGCACTACACCTCGACTATTGCTGCTTACAAATTTCATGCTTTTGAGGATTGGGATACTATAATTCCACAAATTGTGATGCGGTGAAGTTGGAGTTACTGCAGCACGATACTTTTTCCCTCCTATAATTTCGCTGAAACTACCATTCACGCTGTCAAATAGGTCATCGAAAAATAATAGGAGGTCCGCTGTCTCATAACTGCTCTTATCAAGAGCTCCCAATTCTGAAATAAAAAAAAATATATTAACAAAAATTAGTATATTATTTTAAAAAACAGCTGATTTCTACAAAATAAGCTAGGTCCTTTGACAAAATGTGGAATAGTCATTTTGCAATTTCAAGGTAGGACATACAGTAAAAAGTTGTTCACGGTGATCAGTACAATGACCCTTTCTGGGTTAGTACCCCCTTTCTATCTTTTTATTTATATTATACTTCTGACAAAAGCCTAGGCTTACTAGGCATTGTTTTCATAAAAGGTCAATAAGAGCTTGTGTCATAATTTAGAGTGATCAAGCAATGGTAATGGTGATGCAAATGGTAATGACAAGACCAATGTTCAGCAGTGAATATATACAAAATGGCAATAATGAAAGAGAAGTGCATAACTTTCAATCATTAATAAAAACAACATAGGTACATTTATTATTTAAACATGCTGTTCCCGGCGACTTCGCCAGTGTGTTATTTGGGGTTTTAATTTTTTTTGCACGGAATCCTAATTATTTTTCTAAAATAAAAGTAGCCTAAGTTACTCCTTGTGACACCAGCTATCTGCCAGTGAAAATCCTGTTAAAATCGGTCCAGCCATTTCGGAGATTAGCCGGAACAAACAGACAGACAAACATACATACAAACAAAAACCTCAAAAATTGTATTTTTGTTATTAGTACCGTATATACTTTCATATACATTTAGTAAAAAGCAGTAATTTTGACATTACAAACAGACACTTCAATGTTATTTATTTGTATAGATTATTGTAAATAAAGTATGCTTACCTGCCATACACGCAAGGCCCACCCCAACAGATTGACTAAACACTTGTGTGCAGTGTTTCACCCTCATCTTTGGGATTAAATGTGGTAGGACGTGGTGAGCAGTCAGCTTAGGCACTAGCTTGACACCTCTGTAACCTGGGCACCTATTATATAATTGAACAATGTGGGACCATTTTGCTGTACATTCTTTTCCTTTCATTGTATATTTTAAATCTTTTGTAATTAGATTATTCCTAATTCCTTTAATGAGGTGAGGTGGATCATACAGGGGGAAAATTTTGTCATTCCCAACTTTGAAAAATCCTTCCCTGTATATTTTTCCATTTCGTACATATACTTCTTGTGTCTCTTTTATTAACATAGTTATGGCTGCCACATTGGAAGTACCCTGGTCACATATAGTTGCCACAACTTTTAAACCCGTTTTTTGCACTTTTTTTACAATATTATTAATATGAACCTTAAGTTCAACGGCCTTAGTGCTTCCACTGCAGTAATAATAAGCTATAGGCTGCTTATATTTTTTTACTATACCTCTGATCATAAAAACCAGCACGTGATCACAAAATTCACATTCAATTTTTTCTCCATTGTCAACAAATCCAAGTATTTTATCTTTTTTTTTGTCATAAGTAAGCCCTGTTCCAATTGCCATCTCGTCAAACAATAATGAGCAATATTTGTAATTGTCAGGCAGTTTTGAGACTCTATTTTTCAGATTATCAAATATTAACTCATTGACTCCAGGATTTAAGTCAAAGTTATGCAATAAATTTTGCAGTGTCCTTTTGCTTGGCAAAACGCATAAATTGCTTAGCAAGCGATAAGCCTTAGGCGCCGGCTTATACAGCGACAATGCTAAAATTTTTTCATCTAGTGTGAAACGCCTGCCATGTTTTTTCTTGCCACTCTGAGAAGCTTGCATTTGGCAGAATATTTTAGCAGTAGCTGACATTTTTGATGATACAATTTCAAATGCTGTGGTTCTCGTCATTTTTTTTGCAAGAATATATTTTCTTTTCAAAATCATCTTATTATCTTCACATTTCTTTAGCTGCTTTAGTATCGAATTAAATTGTTTAAGTTTTGTCAAAGGTACATAAGGACCTGAGAAAAAGAAATATAGCTTTAGTGAATAAACAAAATAGTGGAACTTATTGGAAAAATTATAAAAATAAATTTTTATTGGGAATTTGTTTAATAGGCAGTGAGATCGATATCAAATAATATTATTGTAAAAAAAAACTACCTTTTGGTTTAGTTGATTTTCTTTTATGCTGTTTATTGTGTCCTTTCTGCTTACCATATTCTTCACATCCTGTAAATTAAACATTTGTTATGGCAAAAAAATTCAAATAGTTACAAAATCCAAGCAAATAGTAAAATGATTATGTTTTGATATTCTATATAAAAAGATATAATTTAGCTAAAAGCATTTACATAACATGCTTTTGATAAAACAATTTATATGAGAATTAAAATAATTTTAACTATTCTGAGTGTTTTTTGGGTATTGCTGGGTATTCATAATTTATTTAATAAATAAGATACATACCTCTCATCTCAATATCCAGTAGAGTTTCTTGAGCACAACATGTTGAAGATACGGCATGGGCAGGCATGGTTACAGATTCAGCATGCAGTTGTTCTGAAAATATATTTTTTATTATGTATTTAAAAAAAGACAATATTTTGGTATTCTGTATATTAAATTTGCCAAAGCATTTATATAAGTAGCTACTTTTAATAAATTCACGTTAGGACTCAAAGAACTTAACACAATTTTAACTTTTTTGCTGGGTATTGATAGCTTAATTCATGAGGAAGATACAAACCTCTTATCTCAATATCCAGTAGAGTTACCTGAACACCAGATGTTGAAGGCTGGTGAGGCATGGTAACAGATTCAGTAAGCAGGTGATCTGAAAATTAAACATTTTTACTACATGTAAAAAGATAATCATAAGATATTCTGTGTTTTAAATAGAATTTTACCAAAAGTGTACTCTTAATAACTAAATTTAGGTTATGACTCTAACAAGTAACATTTTTTAACTTTTCAGCTATTAGCTCACTTAATGAATAGGGTACTAACCTCTCATTTGCATTTCAGATTGAGACTCTCGAACATTCAATATTAAAGGTTGGGCAGGTGCTGTTATTTCAACATCAGGAACTGCTTGAGCTAGAAAAAAAATTAACATTTTAAATTAAGGCTCAAGACACCCATCACACTGATTTAGAAATAACCCTAAATAAAAAATTTAAAAAAACCTCAGATACAAAATAGACAAGAGCTAATGATAATATGTAAACAGCTGAACAGGTTTTCTGAATCATAGTTTAAAACACTATTGATCAAGTCATCTTTCATACAGAAAAAACTAATTCAAAATCTGTTCATCCATTTGGGAGCTACAATGTCATAGACAAATAGAACCTATGTTTTTGTTGGGGGTTAATTATACCTCTGTAGGTGCAACATCACACATTCACACCTATTCTACTATACATAAAAAAATTAACACTTTGCCCAACCTGAAAATTGAATCCAAGACTTCACACATGGCAGTTGCATATTCAAAACTAGGCATTAACTATTTATACTTAAGTTAAAAAGAAATAATTATTGATCTCTATCTAATATTTCTCCCTTTCTACTTTTTCCCTATCTACTTTTTTATGTGGTAGAGCCATGCTGCAGCATTATTAATAGTATAGTTGTAAAACGAATCAGTCGGATCGACCGGGGAAGGACCACACACTCACAGAATACCAGTGTAAAATAGCAGCTTAATGCTGCTGTGTTTCATATGGTGAGTGTAAAGAAGCGGGTCTCCGCTTCTTTACACTCACCTTACGGAGACCTGACACCTTACTTACACCTCACTTATTACTGGAAAGGAGGCATTCCATCTTAGTCCTCACGGCAGACAACGCATCTGTATTTTAATTCCCAAACGAAGATAGATGTAGATGTCTATGGGCCACAGCAACCACTTACCATCAGGTGGACTGTATGCTTGTTTGTCACCCTTATTCTATAAAAAAAATTCAAATAAAGTACTGTCTCTGTTTCACATTCAGTAATATTAATTAATGATGATAGTTGACACTGAGGTAAATTTTATTGTTACACAATGTAATTTAATTGAGAAGTTGTTTTTTAATAAAAGTTTATCAGTTATATTAATACACAAACATAGAATTATTACGCACGTAATAATTCTATGTACACAAAACAATGCGTCTGTGGTTTGCTATTTAATTTATTGCACATTTTTAACTTTATTTAAATTGTTCTAGTTTTATTAATATCTGTGGTTTGATTTATTAAGTTTTAATGTTATTAATTTAAAATATAGTTAATACTACAGAGAGAAACATTAACTTTTACATTTTCCGACCAAATTAACTTCCCCACTATGAAATCTGTCAAATATTATACCTCACTTTCTAGTGGTGCCACAAAAAGTCGTGGATCATTGAGACAAAACATAAGAATGCTTGTGATTTTAAATAATATTTTTTAATAAACATAAAATTAAGATAATGATAATGAAATTAAGATGTTACCTGGCAAATAAAGTGCAGGAATTGCTAATTTGCACAGTCGATTTCTTGGATATTTATAAATTTCTTCAAAATGTTTATGACAGACACGTCTGTTGCTATAAACATCTGAAACGTCCATTGTAGCTACATGACCACCAATTTTGGAAATCCAAGTATTAAATTTTTCTGTATTCAAATCTGGATTTGGAAAGCGGTGTAGAGGTATCCCTGAGAAATAAAATAGTATAATTAATTTTTTTAACTGCCTTCAAAAAGAGGAGGTTCTAAATTTGAGTGTATTTTTTATGTATATATGTTACGCTATATCTCCGTAGATTGTGAACTGATTTTAATGATTCCTTTTTTAATAAACAGTCTTTATCTCAAAGTTGGTCCCATATAAATTTGGGGAAAAAATTCTACCTTGGGCAACAAATAAATAACTTGTTTTTTAGCAATTAAGTCTGTTTTACTTTTTTTTAAGTTATAATTATTACATCCCAGTTCAATAATCTAATACAATAACCTACACAGATCTTAAGTGCTGACATTCGCCTACGCAAAAGTGATTTTTCAGTGGATTCCTTGAATTTACCATAAGTAATGTAATGTACAAACTGATTCCTTCTCTTGCGCACAGGCTTAGGATCCGTGCCGGGCACTGTACAATAGAGATACAGGAGTTTGATTTGAAGTGTCTTATTCATAGAAAACTATTGACTAGAACCACTTTTGCCCATGATGGCAATCGGGGTAGGTAAAACATCATAACACAACACAAACAAAAAACAAAGCTGCATGAGGACGGGACAGAGGCAGGGTACGACAATAATAAACAAAAAATACATACCATCACTTTTCGTCACCAGACAACCAGGTACACAACAAGAGTTCTGTGACATTATGGAAGCTGTTCACACTGTTCACTATTCACAATTATGGGTCCAAACTCTAAAGAGAGTGCCTATGTTCAGATAGTTCACAGAAACTTCACAAGTTTATTCTCCGAAACGGCGGCACGGAGGAAGAGTCTCAACTCACGTGGACGTAGGTACGAAGCAAAGGATGATTATAACGCGGCACGGCAATACGGAGGAACAGAGGTTCAACTCAACGTAGTTAGCAGATGCACTTGCGAAACAACCAGCATTTAATTGCAAAGCCAAAATATGTAAGAGAAACCGGCACTCTTACGAAGACAATTTGCAATTAAAATGTTACCATTGCTATGATAATAATATCCCATTAATATACAAATTTTTACTAAAATATTTTGCGTTCCAGAACAGTTCAACAATTCCATTGATTTGATTTTATATTTATAAATTTTTTTCAATCACTTTTGTCCAATATTTTGCGATAATTCTTTTATTTACTTATTTATATTTAGCATCACTTCCCGGCATATTAATTATGTATTTTATATAGCAACACACTGTTTTTCTTTCTGGTAGCTGTTAAAGAGATGGCGCTGTACCAAATACAAAAAAAGCGAAATTGCCATTGTTCCTAGTTGCTATAGCATGGTCAGTGAGCCCCATGCTATAGCAACTAGGAACAATGGCAATTTCGCTTTTTTTGTATTTGGTACAGCGCCATCTCTTTAACAGCTACCAGAAAGAAAAACAGTGTGTTGCTATATAAAATACATAATTAATATGCCGGGAAGTGATGCTAAATATAAATAAGTAAATAAAAGAATTATCGCAAAATATTGGACAAAAGTGATTGAAAAAAATTTATAAATATAAAATCAAATCAATGGAATTGTTGAACTGTTCTGGAACGCAAAATATTTTAGTAAAAATTTGTATATTAATGGGATATTATTATCATAGCAATGGTAACATTTTAATTGCAAATTGTCTTCGTAAGAGTGCCGGTTTCTCTTACATATTTTGGCTTTGCAATTAAATGCTGGTTGTTTCGCAAGTGCATCTGCTAACTACGTTGAGTTGAACCTCTGTTCCTCCGTATTGCCGTGCCGCGTTATAATCATCCTTTGCTTCGTACCTACGTCCACGTGAGTTGAGACTCTTCCTCCGTGCCGCCGTTTCGGAGAATAAACTTGTGAAGTTTCTGTGAACTATCTGAACATAGGCACTCTCTTTAGAGTTTGGACCCATAATTGTGAATAGTGAACAGTGTGAACAGCTTCCATAATGTCACAGAACTCTTGTTGTGTACCTGGTTGTCTGGTGACGAAAAGTGATGGTATGTATTTTTTGTTTATTATTGTCGTACCCTGCCTCTGTCCCGTCCTCATGCAGCTTTGTTTTTTGTTTGTGTTGTGTTATGATGTTTTACCTACCCCGATTGCCATCATGGGCAAAAGTGGTTCTAGTCAATAGTTTTCTATGAATAAGACACTTCAAATCAAACTCCTGTATCTCTATTGTACAGTGCCCGGCACGGATCCTAAGCCTGTGCGCAAGAGAAGGAATCAGTTTGTACATTACATTACTTATGGTAAATTCAAGGAATCCACTGAAAAATCACTTTTGCGTAGGCGAATGTCAGCACTTAAGATCTGTGTAGGTTATTGTATTAGATTATTGAACTGGGATGTAATAATTATAACTTAAAAAAAAGTAAAACAGACTTAATTGCTAAAAAACAAGTTATTTATTTGTTGCCCAAGGTAGAATTTTTTCCCCAAATTTATATGGGACCAACTTTGAGATAAAGACTGTTTATTAAAAAAGGAATCATTAAAATCAGTTCACAATCTACGGAGATATAGCGTAACATATATACATAAAAAATACACTCAAATTTAGAACCTCCTCTTTTTGAAGGCAGTTAAAAAAATTAATTATACTATTTTATTTCTCAGGGATACCTCTACACCGCTTTCCAAATCCAGATTTGAATACAGAAAAATTTAATACTTGGATTTCCAAAATTGGTGGTCATGTAGCTACAATGGACGTTTCAGATGTTTATAGCAACAGACGTGTCTGTCATAAACATTTTGAAGAAATTTATAAATATCCAAGAAATCGACTGTGCAAATTAGCAATTCCTGCACTTTATTTGCCAGGTAACATCTTAATTTCATTATCATTATCTTAATTTTATGTTTATTAAAAAATATTATTTAAAATCACAAGCATTCTTATGTTTTGTCTCAATGATCCACGACTTTTTGTGGCACCACTAGAAAGTGAGGTATAATATTTGACAGATTTCATAGTGGGGAAGTTAATTTGGTCGGAAAATGTAAAAGTTAATGTTTCTCTCTGTAGTATTAACTATATTTTAAATTAATAACATTAAAACTTAATAAATCAAACCACAGATATTAATAAAACTAGAACAATTTAAATAAAGTTAAAAATGTGCAATAAATTAAATAGCAAACCACAGACGCATTGTTTTGTGTACATAGAATTATTACGTGCGTAATAATTCTATGTTTGTGTATTAATATAACTGATAAACTTTTATTAAAAAACAACTTCTCAATTAAATTACATTGTGTAACAATAAAATTTACCTCAGTGTCAACTATCATCATTAATTAATATTACTGAATGTGAAACAGAGACAGTACTTTATTTGAATTTTTTTTATAGAATAAGGGTGACAAACAAGCATACAGTCCACCTGATGGTAAGTGGTTGCTGTGGCCCATAGACATCTACATCTATCTTCGTTTGGGAATTAAAATACAGATGCGTTGTCTGCCGTGAGGACTAAGATGGAATGCCTCCTTTCCAGTAATAAGTGAGGTGTAAGTAAGGTGTCAGGTCTCCGTAAGGTGAGTGTAAAGAAGCGGAGACCCGCTTCTTTACACTCACCATATGAAACACAGCAGCATTAAGCTGCTATTTTACACTGGTATTCTGTGAGTGTGTGGTCCTTCCCCGGTCGATCCGACTGATTCGTTTTACAACTATACTATTAATAATGCTGCAGCATGGCTCTACCACATAAAAAAGTAGATAGGGAAAAAGTAGAAAGGGAGAAATATTAGATAGAGATCAATAATTATTTCTTTTTAACTTAAGTATAAATAGTTAATGCCTAGTTTTGAATATGCAACTGCCATGTGTGAAGTCTTGGATTCAATTTTCAGGTTGGGCAAAGTGTTAATTTTTTTATGTATAGTAGAATAGGTGTGAATGTGTGATGTTGCACCTACAGAGGTATAATTAACCCCCAACAAAAACATAGGTTCTATTTGTCTATGACATTGTAGCTCCCAAATGGATGAACAGATTTTGAATTAGTTTTTTCTGTATGAAAGATGACTTGATCAATAGTGTTTTAAACTATGATTCAGAAAACCTGTTCAGCTGTTTACATATTATCATTAGCTCTTGTCTATTTTGTATCTGAGGTTTTTTTAAATTTTTTATTTAGGGTTATTTCTAAATCAGTGTGATGGGTGTCTTGAGCCTTAATTTAAAATGTTAATTTTTTTTCTAGCTCAAGCAGTTCCTGATGTTGAAATAACAGCACCTGCCCAACCTTTAATATTGAATGTTCGAGAGTCTCAATCTGAAATGCAAATGAGAGGTTAGTACCCTATTCATTAAGTGAGCTAATAGCTGAAAAGTTAAAAAATGTTACTTGTTAGAGTCATAACCTAAATTTAGTTATTAAGAGTACACTTTTGGTAAAATTCTATTTAAAACACAGAATATCTTATGATTATCTTTTTACATGTAGTAAAAATGTTTAATTTTCAGATCACCTGCTTACTGAATCTGTTACCATGCCTCACCAGCCTTCAACATCTGGTGTTCAGGTAACTCTACTGGATATTGAGATAAGAGGTTTGTATCTTCCTCATGAATTAAGCTATCAATACCCAGCAAAAAAGTTAAAATTGTGTTAAGTTCTTTGAGTCCTAACGTGAATTTATTAAAAGTAGCTACTTATATAAATGCTTTGGCAAATTTAATATACAGAATACCAAAATATTGTCTTTTTTTAAATACATAATAAAAAATATATTTTCAGAACAACTGCATGCTGAATCTGTAACCATGCCTGCCCATGCCGTATCTTCAACATGTTGTGCTCAAGAAACTCTACTGGATATTGAGATGAGAGGTATGTATCTTATTTATTAAATAAATTATGAATACCCAGCAATACCCAAAAAACACTCAGAATAGTTAAAATTATTTTAATTCTCATATAAATTGTTTTATCAAAAGCATGTTATGTAAATGCTTTTAGCTAAATTATATCTTTTTATATAGAATATCAAAACATAATCATTTTACTATTTGCTTGGATTTTGTAACTATTTGAATTTTTTTGCCATAACAAATGTTTAATTTACAGGATGTGAAGAATATGGTAAGCAGAAAGGACACAATAAACAGCATAAAAGAAAATCAACTAAACCAAAAGGTAGTTTTTTTTTACAATAATATTATTTGATATCGATCTCACTGCCTATTAAACAAATTCCCAATAAAAATTTATTTTTATAATTTTTCCAATAAGTTCCACTATTTTGTTTATTCACTAAAGCTATATTTCTTTTTCTCAGGTCCTTATGTACCTTTGACAAAACTTAAACAATTTAATTCGATACTAAAGCAGCTAAAGAAATGTGAAGATAATAAGATGATTTTGAAAAGAAAATATATTCTTGCAAAAAAAATGACGAGAACCACAGCATTTGAAATTGTATCATCAAAAATGTCAGCTACTGCTAAAATATTCTGCCAAATGCAAGCTTCTCAGAGTGGCAAGAAAAAACATGGCAGGCGTTTCACACTAGATGAAAAAATTTTAGCATTGTCGCTGTATAAGCCGGCGCCTAAGGCTTATCGCTTGCTAAGCAATTTATGCGTTTTGCCAAGCAAAAGGACACTGCAAAATTTATTGCATAACTTTGACTTAAATCCTGGAGTCAATGAGTTAATATTTGATAATCTGAAAAATAGAGTCTCAAAACTGCCTGACAATTACAAATATTGCTCATTATTGTTTGACGAGATGGCAATTGGAACAGGGCTTACTTATGACAAAAAAAAAGATAAAATACTTGGATTTGTTGACAATGGAGAAAAAATTGAATGTGAATTTTGTGATCACGTGCTGGTTTTTATGATCAGAGGTATAGTAAAAAAATATAAGCAGCCTATAGCTTATTATTACTGCAGTGGAAGCACTAAGGCCGTTGAACTTAAGGTTCATATTAATAATATTGTAAAAAAAGTGCAAAAAACGGGTTTAAAAGTTGTGGCAACTATATGTGACCAGGGTACTTCCAATGTGGCAGCCATAACTATGTTAATAAAAGAGACACAAGAAGTATATGTACGAAATGGAAAAATATACAGGGAAGGATTTTTCAAAGTTGGGAATGACAAAATTTTCCCCCTGTATGATCCACCTCACCTCATTAAAGGAATTAGGAATAATCTAATTACAAAAGATTTAAAATATACAATGAAAGGAAAAGAATGTACAGCAAAATGGTCCCACATTGTTCAATTATATAATAGGTGCCCAGGTTACAGAGGTGTCAAGCTAGTGCCTAAGCTGACTGCTCACCACGTCCTACCACATTTAATCCCAAAGATGAGGGTGAAACACTGCACACAAGTGTTTAGTCAATCTGTTGGGGTGGGCCTTGCGTGTATGGCAGGTAAGCATACTTTATTTACAATAATCTATACAAATAAATAACATTGAAGTGTCTGTTTGTAATGTCAAAATTACTGCTTTTTACTAAATGTATATGAAAGTATATACGGTACTAATAACAAAAATACAATTTTTGAGGTTTTTGTTTGTATGTATGTTTGTCTGTCTGTTTGTTCCGGCTAATCTCCGAAATGGCTGGACCGATTTTAACAGGATTTTCACTGGCAGATAGCTGGTGTCACAAGGAGTAACTTAGGCTACTTTTATTTTAGAAAAATAATTAGGATTCCGTGCAAAAAAAATTAAAACCCCAAATAACACACTGGCGAAGTCGCCGGGAACAGCATGTTTAAATAATAAATGTACCTATGTTGTTTTTATTAATGATTGAAAGTTATGCACTTCTCTTTCATTATTGCCATTTTGTATATATTCACTGCTGAACATTGGTCTTGTCATTACCATTTGCATCACCATTACCATTGCTTGATCACTCTAAATTATGACACAAGCTCTTATTGACCTTTTATGAAAACAATGCCTAGTAAGCCTAGGCTTTTGTCAGAAGTATAATATAAATAAAAAGATAGAAAGGGGGTACTAACCCAGAAAGGGTCATTGTACTGATCACCGTGAACAACTTTTTACTGTATGTCCTACCTTGAAATTGCAAAATGACTATTCCACATTTTGTCAAAGGACCTAGCTTATTTTGTAGAAATCAGCTGTTTTTTAAAATAATATACTAATTTTTGTTAATATATTTTTTTTTATTTCAGAATTGGGAGCTCTTGATAAGAGCAGTTATGAGACAGCGGACCTCCTATTATTTTTCGATGACCTATTTGACAGCGTGAATGGTAGTTTCAGCGAAATTATAGGAGGGAAAAAGTATCGTGCTGCAGTAACTCCAACTTCACCGCATCACAATTTGTGGAATTATAGTATCCCAATCCTCAAAAGCATGAAATTTGTAAGCAGCAATAGTCGAGGTGTAGTGCCATCTTTATCCAGTTGGATTCAAACAATAGAAAATTTTAAAAATATTGTAAAATTTTTAAATTCTAAAGGGATCAACTCCTTATTGCTGCGAAATTTTAACCAAGATCCATTGGAGAACTTTTTTGGAGCAATCCGAGCTCACGGCTATAGTAATATAATGCCTACGTCATCTGCATTTGAAGGCGCATTTAAAACATTGTTAATAAACAATATAACATCTTCACATTCAGTTGGATCAAACTGTGAAAAAGATGACAGTGTTTGTCTCCAGTCCCTGAAATGTTTTTTAATAAATCCTAAAGACAACAACACAGCAACAGAATGTGAGGATGAAGTAGACTACGCTCATTTGTATATAGACCCTATAAACACAGATGCACTATTAGCAAGTAAAACTCCAATGGATATAGAAAAATGCGCAGCAATAGGTTATTGCAGTGGCTGGATAGCACAACTTGCCAAGAAACATGTGTTTAAAAACTGTATTACTTGCAGGCATGATTTGGAAGCAGAAGATTTATTAAATTTTCATAAATTTATAAAAATGAAAGAATATGAAAATAAAAAGTGGTTGTGCTATCCAACTAGGGCATTGTTTGATTTCTTTGCCCAAGTTGAACACATTTCCATAGAAATATTAAAAGATAGGGCAAAAAATTATATATCTAAATATATTAAATTGATTATGACGGTTAACTTAAATTTTAACTTTTTAACATGTTTATTACACAAAAATGATTTAACTGATTATTTAATTAATAAATCCACATTTTTTTTTATAAACAATTGGTGCAAAGATGTAAACAATGTCCTCACTGGAAAAATAACCTTTTGGGATGTAAATGACCCTATGAAAGAAAAAGCTCACAGACACTACTCTAAAAATAAAGGGAGAAAGAGGATAAGACAAAATAATGTCTCTGTAATAAATTCTACAAGATTAAATCTCTAAAAAGTATAAACTGCATTTTATTCTATGATTCCCAGTTACATTTCAATCATCTATGTAGCTAAAATTGGGAATTTGTTACTTTGGTGAATTTAGTGTCGAATGTATACAGCCAGTATCACTTGTTACTGACCTTTTTACAAATTTTCTAGTACATTCGACATTAATTTCGCTAATGTACCAAATTCCCAGTAGCTCTACTAAAAGCATATGAAAACAGCTTGTGCATATATATATATATATATATATATATATATATATATATATATATGTATGTATGTATGTATATACGTATTAGTTTTGGGTATCTGACAACTAGATGGCGCTTCGTGTCATTGATTAAAAAAAAGTGAGAGCTGCCTGTCTATTCCCTATATAACATTGTAGTCTTTGTCACTGACTAAGCAAGCCCGTGAGCAGTGAATATGCCCAGATTTTAAAATAATTTCTTAATAAAATCAAATTTTGGTCTTTTGAAAAAAATTTACTATAGAAATGTTTATTAATAAATTGCCTATCCATTGGTGTAAATCGCAAAATAAAATAATACTTACTTTACGAGGAGATCCATGTTATCAATAACAATTTCACATTTATGTGGTTTCGTTGTAAGGAGATTATATTAATATTTATTCGATTAAAAAAAAATTGGATATAGCTTTTATGGAATCAAGATTATGTAGAAATATAATGTGTTTTTTATTTGTTGATATATCTTATAAATAAAAAGTAGATAGCTTCTAAAAACCGCCCAAATAACGACTGGCGCGACTTTTTGCTCAACCTGCGCCTTAAATGCTTCAGTAGAATCCGAAATTGCTCCACCTTATTGCTATTAGTTAATTTATAATTAGTTTTTAGGAAGAGTGATCCCATTTGAGTAGTAGCGCCATCATCAATAGAATGTAGTAACATTCTATAGTAAAAGTCATTTTATCGAATAAAAATTGATTGACTCTCAAAAGTGGTACGTGTAATAGATGCTAAATGGCATAAACCCAAAAAAATAATATTGATGGGTGAGTTTTTAAATTATGGATTCTTATGAATGGATTAGACAACCATCTTAATAATATTTTTGTGTTTGTGCCATCTAGCGTCTTTTCTACGTACCACCATGAGAATGAACCAATTTTTGATTTGATAAAATGACTACTTGTAGAAAGAAAGAAATAGATGGTGCGATTAAAAAAAATTACGTATATAATAAATAGTAATTACCTAATTAACAAACAAAACAGATATGTCTCTTCTTAAGATCGAAGAAGATGATGCACTGTGACACATATGTATATAATTTTATGTAAATAAATGAATGATACACACCATTATACAGAAATACAGAAATTATAACGTTGACGAAGCTCAATACCTCTCTGTCGAATCCTCTGTTCTAATTCCACAAACACTCTTTCTCTCTCTCTATGTTATCATTTCTTACATTCTCCTAACTCAAACAGAAACAGAAACTTTTTTATTCAATATAGATTATAAATAATACTTATTGAAAGTCACTCTTTTGTTTGATTACCACTGGTTCAGAAAAAAACCTCTGTCCTGGGAAGAACCAGCAAGAAACCCAGCGGGACTTTTTTTTTTAAATAACAGTTTACAATCGTGATGTTACACAAATTAACAACACAACAAATTAGAAATAGCTTGGTAGCGATCACCTCATTTCCAGGGGTTATTATCATCCATAAATCCCTTAATATTATAATAACCCTTTTTATACAAACTTAGTTTAATAAAGTTTTTGAACTTTGAGCAGGTCAAACTTTGTATATTTTCTGGAATTTTGTTATAAAAGCGTATACATCGCCCCAAGAACGAATTACTGACTCGATGGAGTCGAGTAACTGGTACTACTAGCTTGTGTCTGTTCCTAGTATTTACAGAATGAATATCACTTATTTTTGTAAAACTACTTTTATTTTTGTGTACGTACATTACATTTTCATAAATGTATTGAGAGGCCAAAGTTAATATATTAATTTCCTTAAATTTTTGTCGCAGCGACTCTTTAGGCTTTAAATCATAAATTGCTCTTATGGCCCTCTTCTGTAAAACAAATATAATTTCAGAATAAATTATATTTTACAAATGTTACACTCAGACATTTGTTGGCATTTGCCCTGAAGCGACACTGCTGCAATTTTTTTTAAACAATAACCACATAATAAAACTTCGGAATCATTCAATACGGCGTTGAGATCACATTCGCATGAGTCCGTACTAGTACTAGACACTCGACTGCATCATATGGTCTCCATTCGAATCGAGTATTTACTAGTAACTAGTCTAAAAATCTGCTTAGTATTTGACTAGTCTCGAGTATTGACTGACAAAGTTAGAAATACTGCGGAATAGTGTAGTTAAAAAAGGACAGAATATATTCTTGCACAACACGAGTGCGCGTCGTGTTACTTTTACACACATTAAAATATAGTTCAAATTCAAATGACTGACACACGAATGATTTAGGCAAACACGAGTGAGCGGCAAAGCAGACTAGTTAGTAACTATGGCAACAAAATACTATCTCGCCATAGAATTATTACGCATAGAAACGCAGTCTAGTACAAAACACGAGCGTTAAAATGATGCAAGGTCATTACGTTAGAGGGCGCGAGTCGAATGTGCCTACGTTCGTTAAACGCACACATACACGCCATTCAGTGATACCAGTTTCTGGCGTTTGCAATCAAATTAAGCAAATCACTATTTTTTGATTAATTTTAAATAATCGATATAATAAAGATTACGTATTACGTCATCATCATCATCATCATTACAGCCCTTCACAAGTCCACTGCTGAACATAGGCCTCTCCCAAAGAATGCCACAAAGCACGGTCCTGAGCCACCTGCATCCATCGACTTCCTGCATGTCTTACCAGGTCGTCACTCCATCTCGTGGGGGGACGCCCTACACTTCGCCTACCGGTACGAGGCTGCCACTCGAGAACCTTTCTTCCCCATCGGTTGTCGGTTCTTCGATCTATATGGCCGGCCCATTGCCACTTCAGCTTACTAATCCGTTGGGCTATGTCGGTTACTCTGGTTCTACTGCGGATATCCTCATTCCTAAGTTTATAACGCAGAGAAACTCCGAGCATAGCCCTCTCCATAACTCGCTGAGCGACCTTGAGTTTCCTCATCCGGCCAGCAGTGAAGGACCACATCTCAGTTCCGTATGTCATCACTGGCAACACGCACTGGGTGTACAGTCTCGTTTTCAAGGTTTGAGGTATAACTGACGAGAAGATGTGCCGTAATTTCCCGAACGCTGCCCAACCGAGTTGAATCCGTCGATTGACCTCTCGGTCGAAGTTGGAATTACCTAGTCAGACTATTTGTCCCAGGTAAACATACTCGTCAACAACTTCGAGCTTAGTGTTCCCAACAATTACCGGCATAGGTGTGACATGGACATTAAACATGATCTTAGTTTTGTCCATGTTCATCTTAAGACCTATCCGTTGGAAAACACTATTGAGGTCATTAAGCATAGTGCTTAGGTCCTCCAGCGATTCTGCCATAAGGACTATATCGTCGGCAAATCGAAGGTGAGTGATGTACTCGCCATTGATGTTGATACCGTATCCTTTCCAGTCTAGAAGCTTGAAAACGTCTTCCAATGCAGCGGTGAAGAGTTTCGGGGATATGACGTCGCCCTGTCTTACACCTCTCTGCAATTGGATAGGTTTCGTACTCTGGTTCTGTACTCGGATAGTCATCGTAGCCCTACTGTACAAGCACTTCAACACTTCGATATACCGACAGTCAACTTGGCACCGCTGAAGGGACTGCAGCACCGCCCAAATTTCGACGGAATCAAAGGCTTTCTCATAGTCCACATACGCCAGACATAGTGGCAAATTGTACTCTTCGGACTTCTGTACAATTTGCCGAAGGGTATGTATGTGGTCTATGGTGCTAAAGCCCTTTCGGAAACCGGCTTGTTCGGGAGGCTGGAAGTCGTCAAGTCTGCGCGCAAGACGATTCGTAATGACTCTCGAAAACAGCACGTAGACGCGGCTCAGAAGGGAAATCAGTCTGTAGTTCTTCAAGAGAGCGTTGTCACCTTTCTTGAAGAACAAGACTACCGCACTTCTGCTCCACGCCTCCGGTGTAATGCCACCATGGAGGACGGAATTAAAGAGCCTTTGAAGGACTTCAAGTACCGGTTTTCCACCCGCTTTCAGAAGCTCCGCTGTAATTCCATCCTCGCCTGGGGCCTTACCGTTTTTAAGGTGCTGGAGAGCCATTCTAATCTCGCTCAGACTGACGTCCGGGATATCTTAGGAATAGTGTTGGATGAGACTCGCTCTTGGATCGTTACTCACACTTGCGTGTGGCTCCAACGATGACGTGTACAACTGCCCATAGAACCTCTCAATCTCACTCAAAATCTCAGGTGTCCCGGAAACGATGTTGCCACATTCTGTCTTCAGCTTTGACAGTTGGCTCTTTCTGGCAGACAGATCTCTGGCAAAGACTTTGGAGCCTTGGTTCCGCTCGATCGCTTCTTCAATACGAGCTGTATTGAAGTTGCGTAAGTCCCGCCTCTGTCTGTTCAGATGCCTGTATGCTGTCAAGTCTGTTGAAGAATGTAGCTTCATCTCCCGTCTAACAGCCATGAGATTAAGAGTGTGATCTGAGAGTTTTTGTGTTCTTCTGCGGCGGGTCTTGCAGAACTTAGCTCGGACCGCATGGACAGTTTCCACGAGCTTGTCATTCAAATCGTCCACTTCATTGCAGTCTTCTAGGCACTGAAAACGGTTTTGTAACTCGAGCTGAAAGGTTTCGGGACTTTGGACAACCAACTTAACGTTTAGGTTCAGTGTGCCTCTAACTATTCGGTGATCGCTACCAGTTTTCACCCTCGCGATCACGGAGACATCACTGAACAGTTGTCGTCTGGTCGTCATAATGAAGTCAATGTCGTTTTTTGTTGAACCGTCGGGGCTCGACCAGGTCCACTTCCTGTGGGGCCGCTTC